AATCCTAAATATTGATTTGGGGGTTTATATGAATGTGTTTCTGAGGGGAACTGACTGTCTTCAGAAATGTTTAGATGGTATTTTCTTTTCTTCCCGTATAATTCACATTAAAGCTGTGTTTCAGCGCAGCTCTGCTTTGAGAGAGAGAGAGAGAGAGAGAGAAAGAAATATTTTATTAACGAATAAGAATTATAACAAAGTCAACACATTGGTTTGGAGACTCCAATTTCTGCAGTGAAATAAAGCCTGCAGTGTTGCCTATCTGCTGCTGAGAGCAAATTGGAAGTGAATAGTTGAAATCACAGGGTGAGACAATCAAACAGAACCACCTTTGGCCGAGGCCACGGTCCACGTAGATCAATTCAAGGACCATTTTCTAGCCCGTAAGAAAGAAGCGTGATCATAATTACGCCTAATTAAAGCATTTAAAGAGACAGAACAAACATTAGACGGATTCAATTGCTTAATGAATGTGTAGATGAGCGCTGAGGAATACTGCTGTCTGATTTAGCCAAACAATTCCTCTGCTGCTCAATCAGAGAGTGTGAGAACTCGAGGAAAATGCAAAGGCAAACACAGTGTCTCCAAGCTGCTGGTTGTAAAATGGAGAAAAACAGTGCAAAAATGGCATGAAAGAGGAGTGTGAAGGGGTGTGGAGATATTTCAGGCAGTTGTGGAATGTGAAAGGGTGAGGCCCTTCCCCCGCTCCGGAACAAGAGAGAGAGAAAGAGAGAGGATAAACACCAACCACTCCTGGACAGATTTTCTTAACCACAGTAAAACTACAGACACACATGCTATAAAGCATGACTTTTTGCTTTTTGGTTCTTATGAAAAAGACTCTTCTCTTTCCAAAAACACTGAATCAGTCTGTTCCTGTGCGAGCTGGCCCATGAAAGCCCTGCTGTTCTCCTACGGGAAGCACATGAGCATGAGTGTAGTTAGGAAGTTAGTGACCGTGCCTGAGTCATTGCATCAGCTTCAGCCTATCACGCTCTCAGCTATGGTAGCCAAAAGAGAACTTGTGATCTGGTTCAAAGAGAGCCAAAACTGTTCCAACGAAATAAATTCTTCACTGCACGCGGATGGAAAAGTTGATGAAGGGTGTGTGCTGGTGTCTGTGCGGCGTCAGGCGGACAGCAGTGCTGGCAGGGCAGAGTCTGATAAGACACCCCTAAGCTCGTGAGAGACCCCCCTGATAAAGGGGCACAGCCTGACGCACACAGACATGACTTTATCAGGGGCCACACAAGGGCCAAGTCACCGCCCAGCAGGACACAGAAAAAGAGAGAGAAACAAAGATAGAGGGAATAAAATTATCTGCACACTCACTCTACTGAACCCTGGCTCGAGCAGAGTACCTGAGCTAATGGATCTAGCTAGCTAATTAAAGTAGATACTGTAAGGGGTCCCACAGGTCCCAGCCTGTAAGAATCACTTCCTGTTAGCACCTGGAATGACCTCAAATACGAATGCTGCATCTAAATGTACTGAATTTAATGAAGAAATCACTTCTTGATAATCGATGAAGTGGGGAATTGGTACTAGTACAGCTTATACACTAGGGCCTTTCGCACCACGGGAACCTTTTCATAGTACCAGAACTAATTGTGGAACTACCCACTTTTTGGCGTTTTCGCACCGCCGGAACTGGGTGCGATTTTAGTACCGGACTGCCTTTTTCGAGAACCAAATTAGCTCCTACTCCGGAGCAGGGTCTAACCAGCACAACTGGTACTAATCGTGACATAAGTAGACATTGATTGGCCAAACGCATATGAAAAC